TGTTGCCGCATAACAGCTTGACCGGACACGGGCATTAACTTTTGTTGAGAAGCACGATGACCACTAGACCACTACAAAAGTCGGGTCCGCCGACCACTACAGTAGTTGGCGGACCCAACTACTGTAGTGGTATAGTGGTGATCGTGCTTTTCAACACATCGCACGCGGTGTGTGTCAACAACCTACGTGGTAGTGCCGCAACCTTCTTGGTCAACTGATGGGGTTGAACCGCCTACCAACCCGCGAGGGCGAGGTAACAACGCTAACAACCCGACACTTGTGTGTCAGCATCTCGGGAATTGGGTCATCAGTCATTTCCACAACGGTCTGCGAGTTGTGGACATGAGCCATGCTTCTGGTAGGTCTGCCTCGGTAGGTCCGCCTGAGTTGTGTCCCTCGTACTGAGTGTCGTCGGCGAGCGCTACTGGAGGCAGAAGGCAAAGCACAAAGCATTAGAGCACTCACTCTTGTCGTGTGCGTGGGGGCGGGTCAAACGATTTTTTTTGAAGATGACCTGTCAACGCGTCGCACGAATTCCACCACGCACGGCAGTAGTGATTTAAGTAATTTCATGCTCTCTCGGACATCCGAACACGTCAACCGTGCACACGACGCGCAGATGTAGACCGGGTACTACGTGACATCGTATTGAGAGAGCAAGTACATACATGCCACACCACGTTCTACTCGTAGACAGTATATGATGAGCCAATCAATGCAACTAGTCTACACATAGTATATCTGATTTTTTCCAACAGTCAACTGAAGTATGATCACTTCACACACAATCGTGCACGGTAGAGCAGAGAGCAGTTATCAGACAGCTCGATCTGCCTCAATTGCGACACCGTTGGTCTGGTGTCGATCAGCACGATACGCGACCATGAAAAGGCAGTTCCGTGTCGGCATCATGGCATTTTCTTTTTCAAGAGGGTGGTGGGAAGAACCAACCGGGTGTGTTTTTTTGTTTTTTGTGGACTCCGATATCGAAGACAGTTTTTCTGTTGTTTTTTTCTTGTCGGGTGCATCGCCATCAGCAGCACTCCACAACACGTGCACTGCATGCCTACTTGCAGCCCGCGACACTTGTCCGCTCAATACGTGCCAGACAAATTATCCTCCTTACAACACACGGTACCACAAAGACACAGACTCGGTGCTGTCAGCTGCAGCTTCACAACGCAGGCAGGACTGAAGACAACCACACGCACGTACGCCTTGCCGCTAACACAAGTGTTACCAACGCTTCTGTGCTTCCATTGACAAGAAGCTTCGACGACATACAATACACACGCGCCCTCCGAACACGGAGGCGAAACGTCAACAGGAAACGACTGATAACTAACAACGGTTGCAGGGTGTCTATCGTCAAGCAATACATCGCTAGACACAAACGACAGCGTTTACACAAAAAAAACAGCAACACGTCCGTTTCGTCAATCTTGACCACGCGACTCATCCCGTTACAACCTCTCTCCGTAGGTATGGGACTGCAACACACAAACACCGCAGTATTTCACCCCGGGGCGGGTACCCCGCTCCTCCTCGGTGCATTACTGATGAAGAGACGCTCAATCCAAAAGGAATTCAGCGTATGATTGCCAACAGGGACCATTTACGTCTACCACCTGCGACGACAGCACAGCTAGTTGCCACCGTACTGCAAACAATATGGAGCACAGCCGTACGTCAGCGGGCAGAAATCTCCACTCAGCAACTGGTGGCGTACCAACACAATGCAAGACTCTTCAAACACACACAACGTATA